CAAAAATACAGTTGAAAAACTTTATATTATAAAATGTACTACAATTTTTATATCTTCAACAAAATACAGTATATATATAATGTTTATATTCAAATTATTGGCTGTCTTGCAAGGATTCCAGCTATGCAAATTGTAATCCCCTAACTTTAGTCTGAGATATTATATAAAATAAACACCTTAAAGCATAAAGTTATCACCAATGTTTTGTCTGGGAACACAAGGAGGGAGGTAGCCAGCGAGCAGGGGGGGGGGAAGTGAGGTGACAATGTCTTTATTTATTTGAGATAAGATTTGACAGTTGGCGCTGAAGGCCCGAGTGTTTATTTATCATTACTTAAGAGTGACTAAGCTCTTCTCATAATTTGCCACCCAAACGACCTGGGTGAATATAACTTGTAAGATAGTATTTGAATATCTGTGTAAACAATCTATATTTGCCATAGACATAACAATTTAAGTACCGTAATCGTTTAGTACACGTACAGTAAGGGTTTGCACTCGGGTCCATTGTTAACCGAGGGACCGCTGTAATTGCAGTATACTTATACTGTACAATATTGACTAAATTCACTAGATAACGTACATCACTAATGGTCGGTAAAACTTGTCAAGTCTCTCGGTATGAGTGGCACGTGTTAGTGCTCGAGTCTCCCGTCGTGGAAGTCCGTTTTCTCTCCCTTCGGGATGCCCGAGTCCATTTTCTCTTAATCTTAGAGTGCAGTGCACCAGAGACTTCGTTATTCCTCAGTAATGACACAGAATTTCAAAAATCAAATTGCAACTAGTGTGTACGGTTTGCAATTGAAGTTGTTGAGGGTAATAGTTTCGTTAGGTTGAAAAATATTTACCAGTAACTACCAGAAAACAATGGAAACGATGCACCAACACACCACCAGCTGTGAGTGTCGGTACAGTTGCCAGGGCAGATCTCTTGCGAGCCCAAAGTAGCCAAATCCATGGTATGGTAGCACAGGACGATGTAAAACAAAGTATTCATTCATTAAAGTTAACTCGTAGATACTGGACATAAATTTTTGTTCATTACATTTGAAGCATCAATCTTTGTTAATTAAATTTGAAACAAGAAAAAACTACGATACTGGATTTTCATTAAAATATTACATCACAAGTATATTTTACCTTAACCGTGACTGAATGAATATATTCTCGGAAATAAATATGGAAATGTAATATTTTTGCTGGAATGACGTACATATTATAGTGGGAAGTGGGATAAAATCATGACGAAACACTTTCGCTTTCTTTCGTTGTTCAAAATATTTTACCGTAATCGCTTTTCGAATGGTTTTCAGTTAAAAAACTGTTGCATCACAAGTGAATTAGGATAGAATATTATTGTAATACAACAGTTTTTTAACTGAAAACCATTCGAAAAGCGATTACGGTAAAATATTTTGAACAACGAAAGAAAGCGAAAGTCTTTCCTCGTGATTTTATCCCACTTCCCACTATAATATGTACGTCATTCCAGCAAAAATATTACATTTCCATATTTATTTCCGAGAATATATTCATTCAGTCACAGTTAAGGTAAAATATACTTGTGATGTAATATTTTAATGAAAATCCAGTATCGTAGTTTTCTCTTGTTTCAAATTTAATTAACAAAGATTGATGTTTCAAATGTAATGAACAAACATTTATGTCCAGTATCTATAAATTAACTTTAATAAATGAATACTTTGTTTTACATCGTCCTGTGCTACCATACCATGGATTTGGCTACTTTGGGCTCGCAACAGATCTGCCCTGGCAACTGTACCGACACTCACAGCGGGTGGTGTGTTGGTGCATCGTTTCCATTGTTTACTGGTAAATATTTTTCAACCTAACGAAACTATTACCCGTTTAGAGGTCGACCCCCAATTTTTGCCAAATAATTTGGTCTTAAAAACTCAAACTACACACAGGTATATACGGTAAATAAGGACATGGGGGGCCAGGGATTTTTTAGGGGGGGGGGTAGCAATAGTACACGGATTTTTAACATTCACGGGTATCTCTGTTACCTAACCCCAGCGAATGTTAAGGGCCGACTGTATATGCTATCGGATGTTAACCGGCGCACGACTGTATGTGTTTTTGAAAGATGCAAATCCTCCGAGGATTCGCATCGCACGTAGCGCGAATTTGGATTGCGTGTCGTAAACGGACGCCGAGCCGGTCATTACCGGGATCGTACGTCAAATGAACCGAGGAATTATCGGAAAGACACAACGGGGAGAGAGGCGCTATTATTAGCCTTCGCGACGAGGGTACGCGCAACGCTCGAATAACTCGGCACAATGGGGCGAGCGAACCCTCGGGCATCGCGATGGGTTACCCGCCGCTAAACGACGGGCGACGCGCCGATTAAAATCTTATTTTGACGTTAAACCGACGCCATTTACGTATCGATAATATTTGGCAGATCCCATTTAGACCAATATATTGTATATTGCTGTACCTGTTCACTCTAATATCAACTACTATTTGCTCCGTCACTCCTCAAAAATCAGACGTGTCGTCGACGACTACATTGTGCATCTCGGTACGAATAAAACCGTCACTACGACGCGGTGGCGAAACGTATGCCCCGAGGTCCGTCTCGGTCTAGCTCGTGACGTTCCAAAACTCTTCCGTTTAATGTATATTCCGATATTTTTGTAATCCTCGGTTGGGGCCTCGCTTCTAACCGGCACGATACATACATTAATATAGCTCAATGAATTTCTTGTTATAGTAAAGCATATACCGTACGGTCGTATGTCACACGAGGACGACTCCCTCGCTACCCGCCGTCTACGGCTATTGCTCATATAGTGACCGGATGTACCTGTACCAACTTATGCTGATGCACTGGGGATCACAGCAAAGTATTTCATCTAGAGTTTCAAATTTTACCGCTAGAAAATTCAATCGATACTTTTTGGGGGACCGTACATAATTTGGGGGGAACTGTTTTCGTTGTAGAAAAGTATCTTGGCTTTTATAATGTGAGTCTATAGGAATAGTGATTCGATTTACCATAGGTTTTTATAAGACACAGTACTCTTTCAAACTGGGGAATGCCTGTAGAACTTTCCTAACATTCAAAGTACCACAACAATATTAAATACAATACCACAGACTACTTGAGGTCCAGTAAACTTTATGTCCAGCCAACTTCATTCTAGTTCACATCAGGTCCACTGTAGGCAGTGTTGGAGAAAGTGCCTGAAAATATTACTTAAGATAAAGTACTGCACTGTTGATATGTAAAAATTTAAACTATGTCCTGTAGTCTTCTTCAAAACTATGCAAATAAAAGTTTACTCAACTCAACTGATTCATATAAGTAGAAAAAAGTATTTAGAGTACCACAGCATTTATAGAGTATCATAATTAATAAACAATGACATTATGTTTTGAAAACGAAAGTTAAAGTTATTAATATACTGTACTGTACTTTAAAGAACCACGAAATAAACACACATTCAAAATTGGGTATGGGATGAAAAACGTGAATCTGGGCCATATTTTGGAAGTGTCGCGTACCGCCGACGCCAATGGGACGCGACCTTACGCACAAACATTTACATAAATGCCCACTTTTATAGGATTACTGTACAAGTGTACTGAAATACAAGTACAGGTTGTACCTCTCCGGTCCGGCAACCACGGGACCCGACCGGTGCCGGACGCCGGAAATTTCCCGACCGTGGAAATTCGCCCTCTTCCTGGACAGATAGTGACTTCTGTTTACACTTGGAAGCACTAGCACCACTTTCTCTGCTTCGTGGTCTCTTTGAAGACATATTGAAGGGTTAAATGTCGTACAGTACCTTCTCAAATTTCGCGAGTTTTTAATTCGACGTTTTCTATTTGAACGCACAAAAAAAGCCGACACATTTAAAACTTTTGACGGCGGAAACTCAAATTTCGACGGGTTTGAATGGCCCGCCGACGTTCGGACGACGTGCACGATCGTGTAAACGGCGTTATTTCTCTTATGTACGAAAGATTCGTTATTATTTATTACTGAAAGTCTTTTGGATTGAATTAATGTTAGTGTGTGCAAAATGAGCAATACAATTCATTAATAATACGCTCAATATTAAAACGCGAGGAAATGAGACGGCACCGTTTTCGTCGATTACAAAAACGGTGACCGACTGGTTCTACGTATAAAACTGAAGAAAATAAGACCCCGGTTGTAGCTGTAGAAAAATTAATATGGTTCTTTTAAGTAATGTTAATACATGGAACAATAGAAGTAGCTAACGATAATGGTAAAGAAAAACAGAGATCGCGTATGCGAGTGCGCACGCGTGAAAACGTATCGTCATTACTTTACGTAAGAATGTGAAAGCAACACTTATTTACTGTTCATATATATTTTAATTAATGTTTCTGAATTTGTTTTTATTGAATTAATGTTTGTGTGTGCAAAATTAACAATACAATTTATTACTAATACGTGTAATATTAAAACGCGCGACGAGACGAGACGGCTGCCGGCATTGTTTTTGTTAAAGCTTACAAAACCGGTGACAGATTGGTTCTACATATAAAACTGAAGAAAATAAGACCCTGATTGTAGCTGTAGTAAAATTAATGTAAAAAAATTAATATGCTTGTTTGAAGTAATGTTATTTAATGTTAATAAATGGAACAATATAAGTAGCTAACCATCAATGGTAAAAAAAAAAGTGAAACTGAGCGTATGTAAGTGCGCACACGTGAAAACATGTCGTCGTTACTCTACTTAAGAATATGAAAGCAACACTTATTTACTGCTAGAATATATATTGAAGGGTTAAATGTTATGCTCTGTATAGACAAGCACAGAGAGAGAGCTGCCGGATGTAAACAAACCTTAATTTCCCCCGGCTTTGTCGTTGTTGTTTTTTTACGGGGATTAGCCCACCCGGGCATAGGTCACTGACCCACATTGGGGCCTGAGGGGCAAAAATTTAATACTCCTGTAATAATAATAATAATAATAATAATAATCAAGATTAAAAAAAAAAAAAAGCTGCCTATCTACCTATTGGACAAACTAAAATCGTTCCGGATCACAGAATGCCGGACTAGAGAGGTACAACCTGTACTCTAATACACTCGGCTCGTACGCCCAATGACACGACGTGAAGTGACGACGTCGGTATTACCTCCCAGCGGCGTTTCTCCGTTTGCCGTTAACGGCGTCGTGTGCGAGACCGGACGGGTCTGTACGGTCGAGTCTCGACTTGTCGTACCGAGATGTGTTGTTGGTCCTTGAAGCTTCCTGGAAATGTGACCAATAGCTATATAATACACAACACTGTAAAACTATTATATTATAGGCAGGGATTATTTGACCGGTACTCGGCACAATAACCGCCGCTTATTTGACAGAGATCTAAAATAAAACTAAATCCTTTTGTCAACAGAAATTATACAATTAAATAATACCATAATGTAATGACTTGTTTAATGCCCCCAACCATCCCGACTACAATCCTATACGATCCCCGCAGGTCCCGGTCAAATGGCCGACGGTTATTTGGCCCAGAATCGTGGTCAAATAACATCTTCGTACACTTATAATAAAGGCACTTGTTTGTTTAGTACCACGTGGAGAAACTGATTACTCAAATAGGTTAGGTTAGGTTGAAATAATCTTGTTCCAATGGTTTTTGATGTATTTTCAACTTTTATGACCTTCGGAAAATAGCTGCACGGCCAAAACGATAGTTTTACAAGTTTTTATTTGGATTTTTTCTAATAAATAAATATGATCTTAATTTCCTTACACTAACAAAAACAATGAATCTTCCAAAGTGAGTTAGACTTTCAACATGAAGGGTTAAAAAAACAACATTGAAAACCCTACCTAACCTAATCTAAACTACCTAACTTCTTGCGATGGACCAACAAAAACCGAATCGGCATACCCGGTTTCGTACGCGTCCAATAGTGTTTACATTTCGTGGACGCGACCGACGTAGAACGAAACTGCGACGATCTCGACGGATTCTTATCGTGCTGCCGGGAGAGAGGCACAATTTTGCGGGATTTATTATTTAAATCTCTCTGCTGTGACCAATCAGAGGACAGTGCAAATTTATTATGATATTTACACAGGAGCAAAAACTTTTTTTCTAGATATATTTAAGCCTCCTTCGTGACCTAAACGTTGAAGACGAGAACCGACTCACAGACAAAACATTAAAACACAAAAACAAAACATTAAAGAAATAACTTTTTCTGTTATCATTAGTTAAATACAGCTACTCCTCGACTTACGACCTACTCGACATACGACGGAGCGGCCATTTTTTTGGTCCGGTAAACACAGCTGTGAGCGCTAGCTCCCAAATTTGGGATGTTTTCGAGCTTATTACATTAACTGAAGGATATATAGACTTACCTACTTGTGTATAAGGACCCGAGGATAAGATAAGTATCGTCAAGCAACTTTAGTGTTGGGAACTTACTGTTTACCTTACAAAAATAACTGCTCGGGGTCCCATCACTCCTGGCTGGGTGTTGTGGGATGTCAACATTGCCCCACGGAAAGTGAATTTTCGCTTAAGAACTCTACATGGAAGAGTAAAGAAAAGATAGTATTGGACGAAGTTCTTGAAGACCTTGAGTTGAGTAGTGATGAGTCTAATACGAGTGATGAAGCACAAGGGAAGTTCGAAAGTGAGAAAATACAGCTACAACAAGAGGTAGTGAATAAGAAAGAAAATTCTAAAACAATGAGGGAGACAAGCTGGCATGAGGACAGTGAAAGCAAAGAAGTGAGAGAGGAGAAGAGACAAAATCATCTAGGACAAAAAACGTGTGTGGGTGGTAATAATAATGGAAATAACAGAAAGGAGATAGTGGAGAATGGATCAAGAACAGAGCAAAGTATGGAATTTGAAGGAAGCAGACAAGAACACACACAAGGTGAAGTTGGTCGTGTCAGGAAGAGATTAATTTTTCCAGTCATGCCCGATGACCTTCCTTGAAAAATTAAAATGGGCAGTACAACTAGGACGGGAGCATCGCAGCTTTGAGCCTCTTTTGAAAGAAGGCACACACAAGCCTTATCTTACAGGCTGTGGAAATGTTGACAACTGTTGGGTACAAGGGATTACTGATGGTTTTGCCAGAGGAGAGCGACATACTACTTACAAAGGTTATAATCTTCAGGTACCCTGTAATACTAGACCCAGAATACTTATTGGATGACGAAAGATTTGTTTGGGTCAAGAGGCATTTAATAAGGGGCGAAGAGAGAAGCCAGGTTATTGCTCTAATGAGAGGAAAGGTTCCAGAGAAAGTGTTCATCACAGGAGCAGGGTATAGGAAGGTGGCACTATATGTGGGGGGACCAATAATGTGTCTCAAGTGTTGCAGATGGGGACATAAGGCCTGGAGCTGTCAACTGGACCCACGTTGTAGATTCTGTGGGAAGAGGCACGAATCTAGCAACTGTAAGGACAAGATCAAAGCAGGAGAGAAAGTGAAGCCTTGTTGTTGTAAGTGTGGTAAAACTCTCAATGCTAGTTCAATTGCATGCGAGATGAGGCCACGTATGAGAAGTGACCAACAAAGGAATTATTCAGAGAACACCGAGGAAGTACGCTGTGGTCTGACAGTGACAAGACAGCAGGAGAACACACAGACAGTGATTCCTGAGAATGCCTGGCATGAAGATTCAAGAAGGATAAGGACTGCGCTTGCGGCCGGAAGCGTTGTTGATGCCAGAAACAAAGAGAGTAATAAACAAGTAGCAAGTGAGAGTAGTGGTGCAGCCCTCCAGGTTAGTGATAAAACTGTGCAAGAAATTCTGGGAGAAGAGGTGCTTAAGATGTTTCAGCTTTTGCAAAAGTTAGGTCAGAAAATAGAAGTGATAGAGAAAAGACTTGATACAGTGATAAATAAAGAAAGGGAAAACAAAGCTGTGAATAATGTAGAATTAAAAGGGAAAGAGGAAAGTGAAGAGCTCAAGCCTTTGAAAAATTCAGTGCTTAAAATAAGTATTACAGGGAAGGAGAGGAAAATAAAGGATTGTGTAGCGCAGGGAGCAACAACTGAAAGTTTTAAAAAGGTGTTGGTAAAGTGTAAAGATGCTGATAAAGAAAAACTTTTGAGGAAATGGGAATCTGTGCAGGAGGATTGGGCCTTCTTAAAGAATCTGATTGGAAAGGATATAAAATGTGTAAATATTAATCCTGGATCTAGCTAGCCTTAAGACGTCTTTAAGGTGGCGAGATGAGAATCCCAGGGCGAGATTCCTTGGCAGACGCCACGGCCCACCGCCACAGTCAACTTTTCCTGGGCCAGGCGCTCCGAGCTAGCGAGCGAGCCTGTAAACAACTCTGGCCTACTGACTCCGTCATATGATCATGGTCTACCCACTGTTCTTGGTTATATGTATGGAGCCGTATTAATATCCATGCTTAGGGATGACTAGCAGAAATATAGTCATCCCAGGTTAAGTATTGAACCACTGAATGAGAGTTCAAGGTACCAGGTTGTTCCTTGCAAACTAACAGGAGGTATTGTATGTTACTATAATTGTGGAGTTAGTCCAATGTGTTATGTATTCATCTGTAGTACCCATGAAAGAATAACCTGAGAGTATGAGGTTCTAACCACGAATTGAGAAGGTAATTTGTTCCTTGTTAAAGTAAGACCTGCGGGTCCAGGGTTATTGACAGTGTGTAAGCATTGCTAAATCTTACTTGTCACAGAAATACTACAACAGTATCCAATAAAGTAATGAATATTTGGAGGTGTTTAATGAGGTAATAAGTTCTTGAAGTGTTTGATGACTTAATAAGTTAATTTCGGTTCTGTTTAGCCTGAGTGAATCTAAGATGCATCTTCTCCACTCACTGTATTAATAAATATTGAGTTAGTAATCTGAGTATCACCACTCTACTCCTTCTAAACATTGGTTCCCAGAAAATAATACTTACTCACGTGCCTATACATCTACCACACTACCCAAAACCCTTCCATGAGTTCTGTTATATAATGAAAAGTCTGGGTGGTGGCAGCTACCCCTTGTAAGTATAAAAAGTGTTATACAAAGAATCACATGGTTCCCCAGACTAACCCATGTATAAGAAAGACATAAAACAAAGTATACTTCAGAAAGGTAAGAACATTGAAACTGAAAATACAATCTATATGAAAGGAAATGAAAAGAAAGAACCTTGACTTGGAAAACATAAGTGGAGAAGCATAAGAGTTACTTATATAAGAACATATAAGAATATAAGGTATATAGAGGTAAAGAACATATAAGAATAAATATATATGTAAAGAATGGAAGGAGAATAAGTATATTAAACAGGGTACTCATTGGAGGAATGCTACATAGAACAAATAAGTATATGAGTAAATAGAATACTAACAGAAAACAGTAGCTGGATGGTAAATTATTGAAAAGAGAAAACGCGGCCCGTTACAGGGACAGGAAAGGCGACCTGCTTAAACTGTCTGGATATAAGGGATTTCATCTCTATTCGGGTAAAGGTATAAGAGGGGTCTCAACATACATTAAGAATTCCATACCAGCAGAACTAGTTGGAAACCCGAGTAGAGTACAAGGAATAGAAAGTGTCTGTATAAAGTTATATTTGAAGGAAGGAGAACTGAACATAGCAAATTTGTATATTTCTGGATGCTGTTTTGACCTCAACTTCTTACCAGATTGCATGTTTTTGGACTCAACTTTGGCTGTAAGAGATTTTAATGCTCGACATCCAAGACTCGAAACAATGGGGAGAATTAATAGAAATGGTATAAAATTTTGGCAATTTTTACAAGATCACCCAGATTCTTACTTGTTAGGAAATAAGGAAGTGACTCATATTAAAGGAGGAAGGTTAGACTATGCTTGCATGATAAGCAGTCAGGGAGTCCAGGGAGAATGTGAGATAATAAGGGAGCTAGTCAGTGACCATTTTGTTGTGTATGTTCAATTACCATTAGGGAAGAGACAGGTGAGATATAGGAGGAAGAAATTGAAACTAAACAAGGATGACACAGAAGTGTTTACCCAAAATATAGAGAAATGGTACAGAAATTATACACCAGTCTGTATGGATAGCTTTTATAATGACTTAGTTGGGGAGATAGAAATATATTTGACTAAGTCAACACAGAAAAAAATAAATGATAAGAGACATGGGGCTAGGAAACACTGCTATACCAATGACAAAATGTTGAAGGGATGGACACAAATGTTAAGGGCAGCACATAAAGATTGGGTAAAGAATGGTAGAAGAGAAGAAGATAGGGAAATCTTCATGGATATAGCCAAAATATGTGGGCAGGCTAGGAAGGAGGCAAGGGAGAAATATTGGCAAGATTTTGCACAGCACATTGGGGAGAGTAAAAATCTCAAAGAAATATGGCAGGATATTAACAAAATTAGAGGAAAAAGGAGTAATTTTATTAGCCATCCTCATCCAGAGGAAGAAGCTAATAAACTGGTTGACAAATGGGCTAAAGCTGCTAGTGTTGCCTCCCTGCCTAACAGGACAATAGAAGCATTAGATGAGTGGCAAAATGAAAGAAAAAGATTTATTTCATCAGCTCTAAATATTTGTGATGTAACATGTGTAGATATTACTCAAGATGCTGTTAAAAAAGGAAAATCTACAGCACCAGGCGAAGATGGTGTGACATATGAAATTTTGAACTGCTTAGTTGGTATGGAAAATAGTCCATTATTAGATTTATTCAACATGAGCTATGCAGAGGGTAGATTACCAACAGAATGGAAGAAAGCGATAGTTATTCCTTTCCCTAAGGCAACTGGTGGATACAGGCCAGTGTCTTTAACATCTTGTTTTTCCAAGATGATGGAGAGAGTATTATTAAATAGGCTTGTATATATTGTGGGGGAAAATCTATCTTGTAATTTATTTGTTTTTTGGAAGGGAAATGTACTTCAGACTGTGTTATAAAATGTTTATCAAATGATGCAGACAGATGTAGAGTTTTTGTGGATTTACAAGGAGCATTTGATAAAGCTCACAGTGAAGTAGTTATGAATGAACTGGCTGCTCTAGGGGTATCAGGAAAGTTGTTACACTGGATAGGTGACTACTTGCATGGAAGGAGAATCTGTGTATGGTATCAGGGATGTTTGTCTGAGGAAAGAGCACTTGAACTAGGCACTCCCCAAGGGGGAGTATTGAGTCCAATGTTATTTAATGTGTTAATGAACAAGATAGCCTCACACAAATATCCCAAAGGAGTTGTAACCATCATTTATGCAGATGACATCTTATTTCAAGGAAACTCTGTAAAAAATTTGCAGATTGCATTAAATGATTTTAGTGTTCTTTCTCAAAAGATGGGCTTAGTTATGAATGAAGAAAAAACCAAGTGTGAATGTAAAGGAAGAGGAACTGAATCCGTTTTTCTAAATGGAAAAATTGTTGAGAAAGTGTCAAAGTATAAATATTGAGGAATGTATATTGGCTTTACTAGTGAAAGTAAAGAGGCAGAAATATATCATGTCCTCACTCAATGTAGAGCAAGATTACAGCCCTTGAAGGCTCTAGCATGTTGTGGTAAAGGTGCTGGGGTACCCATACTGAGAATGATGTGTATTTCTACCATCAGATCACTTATAGACTATGCAGCACCTGTCCTCTCTTGTACTGGTGAAGGAAGGCTACGGAAGCTTGAGATCATGCAAAATGAAGCAATGAGAATTATTTTAGGGTGTCAAAAGAATGCAATGATTGAGATAATGAAAATGGAACTAGGGTTACAGAGCATTTCACAGAGGGTCAATGAAATTAATACAGTTGCAGCAGTTCGATTAATGAGAGGGAACAGTGGGGGTAAATTTGTACAAGATATAAATGATGGTTTAAAAGATAAAAGGACCTTCTGCAGGCAAGGCAAGAGAGGATACATGAATGGATTAGTAAATATTATTAAAAAATGTAATCTGGCAGACTGGTGTACAGCTGTTCAGAAGAGTTGTAAGAATCCACCCTGGGAAGAACGAGAAGTAGAGTTAGACATAGTGCCTCTCACAATGAAGAAATCATTACATGAACCAGGACAGTTAAAGGGCTTTATATGGGAATAAGATTAGTAATTTGCCTAAAATAAACACATTGCATGTTTTTTGTGACGGTTCAGTTATGTCAAGTGGCAGGGCAGGGTGCGGGATCCTTATAAGACAGCACACAGAACAAGGAAATGATGACATCAAAATTGGACTTTGGTTGAGAAGTTTTATTTCATCAACACAAGCTGAGTTATATGCAATGTTAGTAGGATTGGAAAATGTTGTAAAGAGGTATAAAGATGCATATTTTGTTGTTGATAGTAGGGCAGCTTTGGATTCTTTGAACAGTGGGAGTCCAGTCTTTGGACACATTATTGGTTCATGTAGAAAATTAGTAAATACAATACGGAAAAATGGCCATAATGTTCAATTTGTATGGGTCCCTTCACATGTGGGGATTGGTCTTAATGTTGTCAAATTATGTATTTTTGAATGCAGACATTAGTGATTGCGCTGTGTACCGACAACATTTTCATTTGTAATTCCCTTTAAAATGGCCGGCAAGCGTAAGATTGAGAGTTTCGTGGTGCCGAGAAGAAAATGAGACGCCCATCTATGTACAGTATTATTTTCCCATTTTCGACTTGCGACCCGGTCGCCGGTCCCTGACCCCGTCGTAAGTCGGGGACCGACTGTACCGTAATGTGCTGGCTATATACGGTATAGCTCTACTGTATATCATTATCTACAAGAGTTAAGTCGGACTCGCGAACGAGCCTCGGGAGCTCGACTCGTCTGTCGGTCGAAGAGCTCCTATACGGTATTGGCTTATAATCGACGAGTACGGTCACCCCAAAATAATATCTTTAGCCACGGGGTCGACGTGCTTCGAGGCTATTCGACCAATGTTACACGACCCGTTTCAGAACTGTTGCTAACTCTACGTCTACACCTCTGAGCACGAATGAGTATACGTATGTTTTTGAGAGATGCGAATCCTCCGAGGCTTCCGATCGCACGTCAAGCGAATTGAGATTGCGTGTCGTAAATGGACGCCGACGCCGTGCCGGTCATTAATGGGATCTTACGTCAAACGAACCGAGGAATTATCGGAAAGACGCAACGGGGCGAGCGAACCCGCGGTATCGCGATGGATCAGCCGCCACGAAAAGACCGGCGACGCGCCGATTTAAATTCTTATTGTGACGTTAAACCGACACTATTTACGAATCAATAATATTTGGCAGATCCCAATTAGACCGATATACTGTATATTGCTGTAGCTGTTCACTCTAATATCAACTACTATTTCCTTGGTCACCTCTCATAAATCATACGTGTCGTCGACGACTATATTCTGCAGCTCGGTACGAATGAAACCGTCACTACGACACGGTGAAATGTTCGCCTCGAGGTCCGTCTCGGTTGTGATCCGAAACTCTTCCATTTAAAGTATATTTCCATGTTATTGTAATCCTCAGTCAGGGGCTTCTTTACATATGCCTTGCTTCTACCCAGCACGATACATACATTAATATAGCTTAATGGATTTCTTGTTATAGTAAAGCATATACTGTACGGTTGTATGTCACGCGAGGATGACTCCCTCTCTCGCTACCCGCCGTCTATGGCTGTTGCTCATATAGTGACCGGATGTACCTGTACCAATTTATGCTGATGCACTGGAGATCACATCAAAGTCTTTCACCCAGCGTTTCAAATTTTACCGCTAGAAAATCTATCAATACTTTTTGGAGACTACATAATTGGGGGGGAACCTTTTTCATTGAAGAAAAGTATCTTGGCTTTTATAATGTGAGTCTATAGGAATATTGATTCGATTTACCATAGGTTTTTATAAGACACAGTACTCTTTCAAACTGGGGAATGCCTGTACAACTTTCCTAACATTCAAAGTACCACAACAATATTAAATACAATACCACAGACTACTTGAGGTCCAGTTAGCTTCAGGTCCACTTCACTGCAGGTCCAGCCAACTTCATTCTAGTTCACATCAGGTCCACTTTAGGCAGTGATGGAGAAAGTACCTGAAAATATTACTTAAGATAAAGTACTGCACTGTTGATATGCAAACATTTAAACTATGTACTAAGTACTGTAGTCTTCTTCAAAACTATGCAAATAAAAGTTTCATAAACTGAATTGAAACATACAGGCAGAAAAAGTAGTACAGCATTTGTAAAGAATCATAATTAATAAACAATGACATTATGTTTTGAAAACGAAGCTAAAAGTTATTAATATACTGCACTGTACTTTAAAGAATAACGAAATAAACACACATTCAAAATTTGGTTTGGGATGAAAAACGTGAATCTGGGCCACAATTTTGAGAGGTCCCGTACCACCGACACCAATGGGAAGTGACTTTAGACACAATCATTTACATAAATGTCCACTTTTATAGGATTACTGTACAAGTGCACTTAAATACAAGTCCTCTAATACGCTCGGCTCGTACGCCCGACGCGAAGTGACGACGTCGGTCTTACCTCCCGCGGGTCGGCGGCGGCGGCGTTTCTCCGTTTGCCGTTAACGGCGTCGTGTGCGAGACCGGACGGGTCTGTACGGTCGAGTCTCCACTTGTCGTACCGAGATGTGTTGTTGGTCCTTAAAGCTTCCTGGAAATGTAACAGATACCTATATAATACACAACACTGTAAAACTATTATATTATAGGCAGGGATTATTTGACCAGTACTCGGCACAATAACCGCCGGTTATTTGACAAAGATCTAAAATAAAACTAAATCCTTTTGTCAACAGAAATTATACAATTAAATAATACCATAATGGAATGACTTGTTTAATGCCCCCAACCATCCCGACTACAATCCCACACGATCCCCGCAGGTCCCGGTCAAATAGCCGACGGTCATTTGGCCCAGAATCCGGGTCAAATAACAACTTTGTATTAAAAATAAACATTACTCAATAGTTTAACACCACATGGAGAAACCGATTACTCAAATAGGTTACGTAAAGTTGAAATTATCTTTTTCCAACGGTTTTTATGGATATTTTGAACGATTATGACTTTTGGAAAATAGATGCACGGCCAAAACGATAATTTTACCAGTATTTATTTGGATTTTTTCTAATAAATTTATATGATCTTAATTTCCTTACACTAACAAAAACAATGAATCTTCCAAAAAAAGTTACTTTCAACATGAAGGGTTAAAAAAAAACATTGAAAACCCTACCTAACCTAATCTAATCTAAACTACCTAACTTCTTGCGATGGACGAGCAAAAATTTAATCGGCATACCCGGTTTCGTACAGTCCAATAGCGTCTACATTTCGTGGACGTGACCGACGTAGAACGAAACTGCGACGTTATTGACGGATTCTTTTCGTGCTTCCGGGAGAAACGCACAATTTTGCGGGATTTATTATTTAAATCTCTCTCGCTCGAATTTCACATAATCTGCTGTGACCAAACAGAGGACAGTGCAAATCTATTGTGATATTTACGCAGGAGCTTAAACTTTTTTTTCTAGATATATTTAAGCCTCCTTCGTGACCTAAACGTTGAAGACGAGAACCGACTCACAGACAAAACATTAAAACACAAAAACAAAACATTAAAGAAATAACTTTTTCTGTTATCACTAGTTAAATACAGCTACTCCTCGACTTACGACCTACTCGACGTACGACCGCCTCGGTCGTACCAAAATTTTGTCAAATTACCTATTTTCGAGTCCTGACGTGAGTGATTGCACTGTGTACCGACAAAATTTTTGTTTGTAATTCCCTTTAAAATGGCTGGCAAGCGTAAGAGTGAGAGTTCTCGTGGTGCCGAGAAGAAGAATTGACACCCGTTTTAGATTTTCTATGTACGGTATTATTTTCGACTTGCGACCCCGGTCCCTAACCCCGTCGTCAGTCGGGGACCGACTGTACCGTAATGTGCTGGGTATATACGGTATAGCTCTACTGTATATCATTATCTACAAGAGTTAAGTCGGACTCGCGAACGAGCCTCGGGAACTCGACTCGTCCGTCTGTCGAGAAGCTCCTGTATTGGCTTATAATCGACGTGTACGGTCACCCAAAAATAATATCTTTAGCCACGGGGTCGACGTGATTCGAGGCTATTCGACCAATGTTACACGACCCGTTTCAGAACTGTTGCTAACTCTACGTCTACACCTCTGAGCATACGTATGTTTTTGAGAGATGCGAATCCTCCGAGGCTTCCGATCGCACGTCAAGCGAATTGAGATTGCGTGTCGTAAATGGACGCCGACGCCGTGCCGGTCATTAATGGGATCTTACGTCAAACGAACCGAGGAATTATCGGAAAGACGCAACGGGGCGAGCGAACCCGCTGTATCGCGATGGGTCAGCCGCCACGAAACGACCGGCGACGCCCCAATTTAAATTCTTATTGTGACGTTAAACCGACACTATTTACGAATCAATAATATTTGGCAGATCCCAATTAGACCGATATACTGTATATTGCTGTAGCTGTTCACTCTAATATCAACTACTATTTCCTTGGTCACCTCTCATAAATCATACGTGTCGTCGACGACTATATTCTGCAACTCGGTACGAATGAAACCGTCACTACGACACGGTGAAATGTTCGCCTCGAGGTCCGTCTCGGTTGTGATCCGAAACTCTTCCATTTAAAGTATATTTCCATGTTATTGTAATCCTCAGTCAGGGGCTTCTTTACATATGCCTTGCTTCTACCCAGCACGATACATACATTAATATAGCTTAATGGAGTTTTTGTTATAGTAAAGCATATACTGTACGGTTGTATGTCACGCAAGGATGACTCCCTCTCTCGCTACCCGCCGTCTATGGCTGTTGCTCATATAGTGACCGGATGTACCTGTACCAATTTATGCTGATGCACTGGAGATCAAATCAAAGTCTTTCACCCAGCGTTTCAAATTTTACCGCTAGAAAATCTATCAATACTTTTTGGGGGGGGGGAGCTTTTTTCATTGAAGAAAAGTATCTTGGCTTTTATAATGCGAGTCTATAGGAATATTGATTCGATTTACCATAGGTTTTTATAAGACACAGTACTCTTACAAACTGGGGAATGCCTGTAGAACTTTCCTAACATTCAAAGTACCACAACAATATTAAATACAATACCACAGACTACTTGAGGTCCAGTAAATTTCATGTCCAGCCAACTTCATTCTAGTTCACATCAGGTCCACTGTAGGCAGTGTTGGAGAAAGTGCCTGAAAATATTACTTAAGATAAAGTACTGCACTGTTGATATGTAAAAATTTAAACTATGTCCTGTAGTCTTCTTCAAAACTATGCAAATAAAAGTTTACTCAACTCAACTGATTCATATAAGTAGAAAAAAGTATTTAGAGTACCACAGCATATATAGAGTATCATAATTAATAAACAATGACATTATGTTTTGAAAACGAAACTTAAAGTTATTAATATACTGTACTGTACTTTAAAGAAACACGAAATAAACACACATTCAAAATTGGGTGTGGGATGAAAAACGTGATTCTGGGCCATATTTTGGAAGTGTCGCGTACCGCCGACGCCAATGGGACGCGACCTTACGCACAAACATTTACATAAATGCCCACTTTTATAGGATTACTGTACAAGTGTACTGAAATACAAGTACAGGTTGTACCTCTCCGGTCCGGCAACCACGGGACCCGACCGGTGCCGGACGCCGGATATATCCCGACCGTGGAAATTCGCCCTCTTCCTGGACAGATAGTGACTTCTGTTTACACTTGGAAGCACTAGCACCACTTTCTCTGCTTCGTGGTCTCTTTGAAGACATATTGAAGGGTTAAATGTCGTACAGTACCTTCTCAAATTTCGCGAGTTTTTAATTCGACGTTTTCTATTTGAACGCACAAAAAAAACCGACACATTTAAAACTTTTGACGGCGGAAACTCAAATTTCGACGGGTTTGAATGGCCCGCCGACGTTAGGACGACGTGCAAGATCGTGAAAACGGCGTTATCTCTCTTATGTACGAAAGATTCATTATTATTTATTACTGAAAGTCTTTTGGATTGAATTAATGTTAGTGTGTGCAAAATGAGCAATACAATTCATTAATAATACGCTCAATATTAAAACGCGAGGAAATGAGACGGCACCGTTTTCGTCGATTACAAAACCGGTGACTGACTGGTTCTACGTATAAAACTGAAGAAAATAAGACCCTGGTTGTAGCTGTAGAAAAATTAATATGGTTCTTTTAAGTAATGTTAATAAATGGAACAATAGAAGTAGCTAACGATAATGGTAAAGAAAAACAGAGATCGCGTATGCGAGTGCGCACGCGTGAAAACGTATCGTCATTACTTTAAGTAAGAATGTGAAAGCAACACTTATTTACTGTTCATATATATTTTAATTAATGTTTCTGAATTTGTTTTTATTGAATTAATGTTTGTGTGTGCAAAATTAACAATACAATTTATTACTAATACGTGTAATATTAAAACGCGCGACGAGACGAGACGGCTGCCGGCATTGTTTTTGTTAAAGCTTACAAAACCGGTGACAGATTGGTTCTACATATAAAACTGAAGAAAATAAGACCCTGATTGTAGCTGTAGTAAAATTAATGTAAAAAAATTAATATGCTTGTTTGAAGTAATGTTATTTAATGTTAATAAATGGAACAATATAAGTAGCTAACCATCAATGGTAAAAAAAAGTGAAACTGCGCGTAGGTAAGTGCGCACACGTGAAAACATGTCGTCGTTACTCTACTTAAGAATATGAAAGCAACACTTATTTACTGCTAGAATATATATTGAAGGGTTAAATGTTGTGCTCTGCATAGACAAGCACAGAGAGAGAGCTGCCGGATGTATTTACAACTTCAGCGGTCACTGATGACACTATGAACTATCACTGTGTACACTGTATCTCCCTGTGAGTGGTGTATTATAAACACAGATTCAGTCCTTGAGCAAGCACACAAACAAAATAAATTTAAATTCTCTGTGGCACCTATGACACGAATAGGCTGGCAGTTGTCCTTACCAGCTCGATTGCCAATATGTATTCACTTTAAGTTATTATAGTCTCTTTTGCATTCACTGATGACAACTATGAACTGATTTAACTGAAGGCACAGTACTACACTCCCTGGTTGGCCTTTATCACAGCCGTGACCACAACACACTAAAAAATAAAATAAAATAAAAGCTTTGTCATGTGGCAGTGATTGTGTGGTTATAGGCCTGTGACCCTGGCTGTACCTCCAACTCGGTGGAAATTGAGTTTTCAAAAATACAATCGTGTCTAGCATGAAAAGTCCGACATCGATTTACACTTTCACCTCACTAAGACGATCTTGACGAGCTTATGTAATCACTGTCCAATTTCTGCCGCTCTACATCGAAGGCCCGAATGCCGAACACGCTTTGTTACAGAGACGCAACACGACCCGCCCGCCCTTCTTAGCGGTGAATATTAAACCTAATTTCCCCCGGCTTTGTCGTTGTTGTTGTTTTTTACGGGGATTAGCCCACCCGGGCATAGGTCACTGACCCACATTGGGGCCTGAGGGGCAAAAATTTAATACTCCTGTAATAATAATAATAATAATCAAGATTAAAAAAAAAAAAAAAAAGCTGCCTATCTACCTATTGGAGAAACTAAAATCGTTCCGGATCACAGAATGCCGGACTAGAGAGGTACAACCTGTACTCTAATACACTCGGCTCGTACGCCCAATGACACGACGTGAAGTGACGACGTCGGTATTACCTCCCAGCGGCGTTTCTCCGTTTGCCGTTAACGGCGTCGTGTGCGAGACGGGACGGGTCTGTACGGTCGAGTCTCGACTTGTCGTACCGAGATGTGTTGTTGGTCCTTAAAGCTTCCTGGAAATGTGACCAATACCTATATAATACACAACAGTGTAAAACTATTATATTATAGGCAGGGATTATTTGACCGGTACTCGGCACAATAACTGCCGGTTATTTGACAGAGATCTAAAATAAAACTAAATCCTTTTGTCAACAGAAATTATACAATTAAATAATACCATAATGTAATGACTTGTTTAATGCCCCCAACCATCCCGACTACAATCCTATACGATCCCCGCAGGTCCCGGTCAAATGGCCGACGGTTTTTTGGCCCAGAATCGTGGTCAAATAACATCTTCGTACACTTATAATAAAGGCACTTGTTTGTTTAGTACCACGTGGAGAAACTGATTACTCAAATAGGTTAGGTTAGGTTGAAATAATCTTGTTCCAATGCTTTTTGATGTATTTTCAACTTTTATGACCTTCGGAAAATAGCTGTACGGCCAAAACGATAATTTTACCAGTTTTTATTTGGATTTTTTCTAATAAATAAATAAATACGATCTTAATTTCCTTACACTAACAAAAACAATGAATCTTCCAAAGTGAGTTAGACTTTCAACATGAAGGGTTAAAAAAACAACATTGAAAACCCTACCTAACCTAATCTAAACTACCTAACTTCTTGCGATGGACCAACAAAAACCGAATCGGCATACCCGGTTTCGTACGCGTCCAATAGTGTTTACATTTCGTGGACGCGACCGACGTAGAACGAAACTGCGACGATCTCGACGGATTCTTATCGTGCTGCCGGGAGAGAGGCACAATTTTGCGGGATTTATTATTTAAATCTCTCTGCTGTGACCAATCAGAGGACAGTGCAAATTTATTATGATATTTACACAGGAGCAAAAACTTTTTTTCTAGATATATTTAAGCCTCCTTCGTGACCTAAACGTTGAAGACGAGAACCGACTCACAGACAAAACATTAAAACACAAAAACAAAACATTAAAGAAATAACTTTTTCTGTTATCATTAGTTAAATACAGCTACTCCTCGACTTACGACCTACTCGACATACGACGGAGCGGCCATTTTTTTGGTCTGGTAAACACAGCTGTGAGCGCTAGCTCCCAAATTTGGAATGTTTTCGAGCCTATTACATTATCTGAAGGATATATAGACTTACCTACTTGTGTATAAGGACCCGAGGATAAGATAAGTATCGTCAAGCAACTTTGGTGTTGGGAACTTACTGTTTACCTTACGAAAATAACTGCTCGGGGTCCCATCACTCCTGGCTGGGTGTTGTGGGATGTCAACATTGCCCCACGGAAAGTGAATTTTCGCTTAAGAACTCTACATGGAAGAGTAAAGAAAAGATAGTATTGGACGAAGTTCTTGAAGACCTTGAGTTGAGTAGTGATGAGTCTAATACGAGTGATGAAGCACAAGGGAAGTTCGAAAGTGAGAAAATACAGCTACAACAAGAGGTAGTGAATAACAAAGAAAATTCTAAAAGAATGAGGGAGACAAGCTGGCACGAGGACAGTGAAAGCAAAGAAGTGAGAGAGGAGAAGAGACAAAAACATCTAGGACAAAAAACGTGTGTGGGTGGTAATAATAATGGAAATAACAGAAAGGAGATAGTGGAGAATGGATCAAGAACAGAGCAAAGTATGGAATTTGAAGGAAGCAGACAAGAACACACACAAGGTGAAGTTGGTCGTGTCACGAAGAGATTAATTTTTCCACAGTCATGCCCGATGACCTTCCTTGAAAAATTAAAATGGGCAGTACAACTAGGACGGGAGCATCGCAGCTTTGAGCCTCTTTTGAAAGAAGGCACACACAAGCCTTATCTTACAGTGGGGACCATGGAGGCTGTGGAAATGTTGACAACTGTTGGGCACAAGGGATTACTGATGGTTTTGCCAGAGGAGAGCGACATACTACTTACAAAGGTTATAATCTTCAGGTACCCTGTAATACTAGATCCAGAATACTTATTGGATGACGAAAGATTTGTTTGGGTCAAGAGGCATTTAATAAGGGGCGAAGAGAGAAGTCAGGTTATTGCTCTAATGAGAGGAAAGGTTCCAGAGAAAGTGTTCATCACAGGAGCAGGGTATAGGAAGGTGGCACTATATGTGGGGGGACCAATAATGTGTCTCAAGTGTTACAGATGGGGACATAAGGCCTGGAGCTGTCAACTGGACCCACATTGTAGATTCTGTGGGAAGAGGCACGAATCTAGCAACTGTAAGGACAAGATCAAAGCAGGAGAGAAAGTGAAGCCTTGTTGTTGTAAGTGTGGTAAAACTCACAATGCTAGTTCAATTGCATGCGAGATGAGGCCACGTATAAGAAGTGACCAACAAAGGAATTATTCAGAGAACACTGAGGAAGTACGCTGTGGTCTGACAGTGACAAGACAGCAGGAGAACACACAGACAGTGATTCCTGAGAATGCCTGGCATGAAGATTCAAGAAGGATAAGGACTGCGCTTGCGGCCGGAAGCGTTGTTGATGCCAGAAACAAACAGAGTAATAAACAAGTAGCAAGTGAGAGTAGTGGTGCAGCCCTCCAGGTTAGTGATAAAACTGTGCAAGAAATTCTGGGAGAAGAGGTGCGTAAGATGTTTCAGGTTTTGCAAAAGTTAGGTCAGAAAATAGAAGTGATAGAGAAAAGACTTGATACAGTGATAAATAAAGAAAGGGAAAACAAAGCTGTGAATAATGTAGAATTAGAAGGGAAAGAGGAAAGTGAAGAGCCCAAGCTTTTGAAAAATTCAGTGCTTAAAATAAGTATTAAAGGGAAGGAGAGGAAAATAAAGGATTGTGTAGTGCAGGGAGCAACAACTGAAAGTTTTAAAAATGTGTTGGTAAAGTGTAAAGATGCTGATAAAGAAAAACTTTTGAGGAAATGGGAATCTGTGCAGGAGGATTGGGCCTTCTTAAAGAATCTGATTGGAAAGGATATAAAATGTGTAAATATTAATCATGGATCTAGCTAGCCTTAAGATAATGTCCTGGAATGTTAATGGTCTACGAAATAGAGTGACAGATGTACACTACTTTACCCTTAAAAATAATATTGACATAATTACCCTTCAAGAGACTGGGGACAGGAAAGGCGACCTGCTTAAACTGTCTGGATATAAGGGATTTCATCTCTATTCGGGTGAAGGTATAAGAGGGGTCTCAACATACATTAAGAATTCCATACCAGCAGAACTAGTTGGAAGCCCGAGTAGAGTACAAGGAATAGAAAGTGTCTGTATAAAGTTATATTTGAAGGAAGGAGAACTGAACATAGCAAATTTGTATATTTCTGGAGGCTGTTTTGACCTCAACTTCTTACCAGATTGCATGTTTTTGGACTCAACTTTGGCTGTAAGAGATTTTAATGCTCGACATCCAAGACTCGAAACAATGGGGAGAATTAATAGTAATGGTATAAAATTTTGGCAATTTTTACAAGATCACCCAGATGCTTACTTGTTAGGAAATAAGGAAGTGACTCATATTAAAGGAGGAAGGTTAAACTATGCTTGCATGATAAGCAGTCAGGGAGTCCAGGGAGAATGTGAGATAATAAGGGAGCTAGTCAGTGACCATTTTGTTGTGTATGTTCAATTACCATTTGGGAAGAGACAGGTGAGATATAGGAGGAAGAAATTGAAACTAAACAAGGATGACACAGAAGTGTTTACCCAAAATATAGAGAAATGGTACAGAAATTATACACCAGTCTGTATGGATAGCTTTTATAATGACTTAGTTGGGGAGATAGAAAGATATTTAACTAAGTCAACACAGAAAAAAATAAATGATAAGAGACATGGGGCTAGGAAACACTGCTATACCAATGACAAAATGTTGAAGGGATTGACACAAATGTTAAGGGCAGCACATAAAGATTGGGTAAAGAATGGTAGAAGAGAAGAAGATAGGGAAATCTTCATGGATATAGCCAAAATATGTGGGCAGGCTAGGAAGGAGGCAAGGGAGAAATATTGGCAAGATTTTGCACAGCACATTAGGGAGAGTAAAAATCTCAAAGAAATATGGCAGGATATTAACAAAATTAGAGGAAAAAGGAGTAATTTTATTAGCTATCCTCATCCAGAGGAAGAAGCTAATAAACTGGTTGACAAATGGTCTAAAGCTGCTAGTGTTGCCTCCCTGCCTAACAGGACAATAGAAGCATTAGATGAGTGGCAAAATGAAAGAAAAAGATTTATTTCATCAGCTCTAAATATTTGTGATGTAACATGTGTAGATATTACTCAAGATGAGTTATTAAATGCTGTTAAAAAAGGAAAATCTACAGCACCAGGCGAAGATGGTGTGACATATGAAATTTGGAACTGCTTAGTTGGTATGGAAAATAGTCCATTATTAGATTTATTCAACATGAGCTATGCAGAGGGTAGATTACCA